CTCCTACACCCAAACTCCATCTCAGACCCTACACCCCCACTCCATGTGGCCCATGACCACTTACCAAAATTCTTGAAGTGACCCCCTGTAAAACTATTGCCCATCCTGTATTAGAGCATATCTTAAAAGTAAGTATATTGTGTTTCTCCAAGATTTAACAAAAAATATATATACCTGAGCAGATCTAAAGCTAAGTGTTGCAAAGGGAAAATGGATTTTCTGCCAGCTCATCTTGTTGGCAGGCCAACCCTGGCAGGGTACCTGTTCTTATATTACACTCGAAACTGTAGAGTCTGAACACGTCCCAGAAGTACATCACTTAAGGTGGCTAACAATTGTCATTTTCTGAGAAAAATGCCTGAGAAAATTCTGTGAGGGTTTTATATATTTTATGTCAGCTGTACTACGTGCTTTTATTTTTGACTTAGACATCAAAGCAATACTTTGCACTCAGAAAGGAAGGTGGTGAGACTTGCTCCTGCAGTAGCTCACTCTACAGTCTTACACGAGTCTCTGAGGAAAGCAGTATCTCCTGCAAAGTTTAGCTTTACCCTTTCAACCTATAGCTCCATAACAGCTAAGGAATGGCAGTACTGACCAAGCACTGTGCTGAAGCTTCAAGTGGTCTTTGAGAAGGGGGACAATTAGGTTTACCGACATCTGGGAAGCCACAGGTGTAGGTATTGTTTTGTTATCCATGAAGCACTCAAGAATTTGTAAACCTCCTCTCTCTCTTCCCCTTGCGAGACGCTGATGGAGTAACTTCAAAATCTGAGGGATGGATTTTAATTCCTCTGTTTGCACCCAACCCATTTTGGCAACGAGTTACATTACAGTACTCAACTTCAAACCTGGACATCACACTAAACAACAGACAAGTTTAATGTGTCTGCTACTATTATCAGCAGTGAAACTTGAAGGCTTACGCTATTCACTTAGCTGTTTTAAATTGAACTCAACTATACAGTATTGCATCAGTCTGTATGTATTTTTTTGTAATTACTGCATCTTGATTCTTAAAAATTGTTTTAAAATGAAAGTACAGACTCTTAAGTGAACTTCAGTTTTGTAGCAAAGTTACAGGGCTATATGATTATATTACACGTATGCCAATGAATTAACCAGTCTGATTTCTCTCTCACTCACTCTGACTGACACACACACACACACACACACACACGCAAAATGAAAAGCAGAAAGACAACAAACAGTAAGTAGAACAGTGGCATGTAAATTGGACATTTCAAGTTCTTACCATTTCAATAAAGTAAAGCATTTACATAGGTCCACAATTAGGCAAATTTTAATCCAGCTGTCCCCATTTAAATTCTTACCTTTTGGACAATAAGAATAACTCCAATAAAGGGCTTTGCTTATGAATCTTAAGCTCTCTGGTGTCAGGAATCTAAAATTTTATGTCGCCCAGACTGAATACAATATCAAGAGGAACAGAGGATTTGCCCATCCACAGGGTCAAAGCGGTATCTGTTCCACAACCTTCATCCACTGAATCACAAAATCTTTTGAACACTGATTTTTTTTAATACTACTGAACACCAGTTCTTCCATCTGTTCAAGATTTAATAAGGTACTGTTATTGTGAATTTAGGTCCACAGCTAAATGCTGATTACTTACTCCTAGAAAAAGTCTTCAAAGTTAAGTACATTTTTCTTTTTATGCGAGAAATTCACTTATCCATAGAACAGAAGGTATTTATGTAACATATACAATTGATAAAAATTATTTCTTCATATTTCCTATTAAGGCAGCCATAAATTGCTAATCCTCTGACTACTGAACATTTCTAACAAAAGGAAACTGATTACAGTCTGCTACTTTTATTTATTTTACTTATAAGTATATCAGTCAGACAAAAGACTTTGACCAATCCCATTGGAATAAGGAACACTTTTTAGGCAATAAGCATTTTATTTATCTCTAATTTTTCCATGCATAGTTTTGACAAGATTGCTTTGTGTACAAATAATTGCATGAGTCACAGCTCTATTACTCAACTGTCAAGTGCATCAATTGATTTTTATAAGAAATTCTGTAGCAGCTAACATACCTAGTATGTATGAAAAAAACAAATGAAACAGCCAAGAATGGCCAAGTAACATTGGATCAATCACACACATGAACTATAAGCTAGTGCATTACCCAACATTCTTCACAGTACAGTAAAATTAATTCTGAAGGTTTAATCAAGTCTCATCCACAAAGCTGGCAGCAGGAAAGATGGCCTTTTTAAAGATTTGGGAGCAAACACAGTAAATGTCAAGAGTTAATACGCTTGGCCTGAATGAGGCCCCGTGCAGCCAGGTGCTGTGCAAGTTTCTCCATGCAGCCCTGCCAAAGCTTTTTAACTCTGATCTATAACACCCTACAACTCTGAAGGAGGCTGTCAGTTGTGCTGAATTTGAATCCTGCCAAGTTACGTGATGTAAACAAATGAGTGAAAAGATGACTAAAATGCTTCACTTCAGACCAAAGCCAGGACTAACCTGCTAAATCAGTTAATTTCAAGATGTAAGTCTCCTACTTAAAAGACTGTAAACTAGAAGGACCAATGCTCTCCTTGCTAAGGAAAAAGCTGTTTGCTGGGTGGTAAGCATGGCCATCTCACTGAGCATGCATAATCAGAGTAGAAGCTCCCAACTCTGCCGGTGGACGAGAAAACATGCTTAACTTCATCTCAGAAAACTATACCTCCAGTTCTGGCAGTCTTAAATGGAAATAGTGTCAGTTCTCATAGCAGAAATTCCACCTTCCAAAACCAAAGATTAGGCTCTCATTCTTAGACACTGAGACTAAAGAAAAACTGAAAAGAAAGCTAGCGTTTTTTTAAAGAGATTAATTCAAGGAGGAAATATTTGTTTTAGAGGAAACAAGAGTACTGAATAATTAAAAGTAACTTTGAAAAAAAACAGGAAAAAAACAGAAATGGATACCAGCTCCTACCCAATCTAAATACAAATGAACAGTAGCCGATTAGCCAGTCTTTCAAGTCCACTATCTGTGCCTGACACATTACAAAATAAAACATAGAAAAGCTTTGAATATCAGCGCCTGATAGTTCTATTCATGTAGTTGAAAAAATTCAAATACAAAGAAAAACTATGCATGAAAATTTTAAAAAATCGTGTTTCAAACTATATAGTGTGTACATTTTGCACGAATCTGATATTACCCAAACAATGAAGAATAGAGCATGATCTCCTCATTCTAAGGTTATAGCCTTAATTTGATGCTTGAATTCCTCTCACGAATCTGATATTACCCAAACAATGAAGAATAGAGCATGATCTCGTCATTCTAAGGTTATATCCTTAATTTGATGATTGAATTCCTCGCAACATTTCTGGCATTTGGGATAATACTGTTTCATTTATGGAACAGTAGATTTTTCACATCTGCAAGTGTCCCTACATCCCCTCCCATGAACAAAACTTTGTCAAAACAGACTGTCAACCTGGAGTAGTAAACAAAAAAACCCAAACACCTACTTTGGATAACTTAAATGGATTTAGTGTTTTCACCCCCAACAAATTCCAGAGTCATTGACCCACAAACATAGTCATTTTGAAACAGAGAATTTATCACAAATCATTTAAAAACTGGCACTGCTGGATTAATAGGGCCAACTTTGATCACACACCATGATGTTTTACGTTGGAATAAACCCATTGACTTCAATGGATTATTCCTGATTTACACCTATATAAACAAGAGAATAAAACTCACTATAATGTGAGCTTCTTTTGACCAAACCTATGCAGCAGAATGCATATTATTTCATTTCTTTGGTACGGATTAAGGATGTTAAGAGTTGGGTAACTGACTAATCATGTAGTTGATACAATTTTTATCGACTATACAATTAGTCAATAAGGGAAGATGCTCAGTCCCAGCTCGCACCGGGTCTGGGACCTACCCCTACTGCACCTCTGCAGCTTAAATGAAGTAGGAGCCGGGCGAGCCTAGGCTTATTGGGTAGTCAACTATTCGCTTACATCCCTAGTACAGATCAACCAAAAAGTTACAGTACTATAAATAACTAATGTGTGGTTAGGGATATTTGATGCAATAATAGAGGACTTCATCGGTCAAGTTCAGTAGTTTATGTATTTCACAATTACAGTATAACTTTACAGTCTTCTAAAAGCCATTTCTCATATAAGCCAATGTTAGAGAGACTCTGTTCTCAGAGTGTTTAACCAACACTGGTTTGGAAGTATTAAGTAATGCCACAGACTTTGTACATAAACAAAACTGCATCAGAGAAGACAGACTTCAACAAATTAAAATTCAAATTGGAACAATCAACAAGGGCTCAAATGTTGACTAGCCACTCAGAGGCAACAGTATTTTATAAGCCAGATTCTAATGTAATGTGAAAAATACTTTATGATTAGCCTAACACTGAATACTTAATTTCTTCTAATAAATAACTAATCACCACATAGAAGGAGATTTTGGTTGGAAGTACAGAAGAATGGAGAGAAAGTATATCCAATTTATATGCATGGGAAAGCAGGGAATTATAGCTTTGTATGCTAAACTCCATTTTAATAAAAACTCCATGAGACACCTAAAAGCCTGATCATAATGAGAAGACTCTTGTTGACTTTAAGACCATGCCCTAATAAAGCAGAATTATAAATTCAGATCCTGATCCAGAAAATATGCATGCAAACTGTTCCAAATATGTAAACTGAGTTCACAAATTTGTAGGACAGAAGCCACAATGACCATCAAGTTCCCCTAACTTTCCCACACATTCCAAAGAGAAATGCATTCTTGCAGTTGTGCTCTGCATCATGAACTACAAGTAAAATAGCACCATCCACCCAGAGATCATTGACAGTTATAGAGAGTAAGTCAACAACAGATATTCCTGAGAACCATTGTGTGAATGCATATAACTATACGCAGTGCTCTTAGGTATTTATCACTGCAATGATTGTTCACATTTTATTCAGTCTGATCAAATGCTTACCTGTGCCCAGAATGATAAACCACTGCAGTTATTCCATAAGCATAATGGCTGCTGAAGTTGAAACTATGACTCTCTTGGAAGCTTTGGTTTGTTCCAACACTAGACCAGAAAAAAAAATACACGGTTTATGTGTTATGTTTGTTCCAACACTAGACCAGAAAAAAAAAAATACACGGTTTATATGTTATAGAAAAAAGGTACTTTCTTTGTTCTGAAATGTACCATAAGTGTCTGTGTTTATGTTTACCTTACTAGGTAACTTTTCAGTTCTCCACGGTAATTGATGACTAGCAGTTCGGCTGACCACTGGACACTTGCTTTATATTCTAGAAAGATCAATCCAGCAATAGCGTAGCTCAAATCTCCTGGAAAACTGGTTGTCTTTTACCAAACAACCCAAAAAGATACACATTTAGAGGCAAAAAACACAAGAAAGCAATTAAGCTCAACTAATAAAAATAATTAATACATTGCATTAGTTCCAGAGGAAAATGAGTTTGCCCTTCACAATACTAAAGAAAAAGTAGTCACGTTAACACAAAAGATGCTTACACAATATATTAGAGAGATTAAAAGGTATCCAAAATGTTAGCTCATCATAACTTATCCTTCAACTGTGAAAGATTTACTGATTTTAATTCTGAAATTGTTATTAGCTTGCCACAAATAGCATTATGTTTCCTCAAATAAAAAGATCATTTTGTTCAGATCCCTACAACACTAAACTTCGGATTTTGATCAAATAGGAACAGAAGCTGCACAGTGATATATCTGATGAGTACTTTCATGAGAGAAAAAAAGGGAAGTTCAAATTCTACTGTAGGTAGTGATGTTGACAATCTTCCCTAGGATCTGATGCCTATAGACAACCACCTAACCTCAAGATGATTCTTACCAACCACCACAGGACATACCACACTAATACCAACCCTGGTACCTTCCCTTGCAACAAACCCCGTTGCCAGCTTTGTCCACATATTCATTCTGCTGATACCATTATTGGACCTAACCAAGTGAGTTATAAGATCAAGAACACATATTATATCATTAACTAATATCATTAACTCACTGGCATTCACCTTCCTTCCCCCTCTCCCCCACATCCCCCTTCTGTTCTGTAATGTGATTTGTCCTTTTCATGTGTGTTCATTTTTTTTAAATTGTATCCTTTGGTATATATGGTTGTGACTGTTTTCTTCCATTATTTGATCTGAGGAAGTGGGTCTGGCCCACGAAAGCTCATCATCTAATAAACCATCTTGTTAGTCTTTAAAGTGCTACATTGTCCTGCATTTTGCTTCAAGGTGGTAGAGGCCACCAAAACCTGTCGGATCTGCCATATTTTTGGATTAAAGTAAAAATAAAGATTTGGATAGCTGTAAGCTTTAAAGAGACATTGATATTCTTAGCAAGAATAGCAAGCAGGAATAATGTATTTTCTTCTTTTGATACTTGTAGTTCAGTTGTAATTAGTCATGAAGAATGCCTCATACTAACTACTGCTATTTTTGTAAAAGGAACAGGCTTTGTAAGATAAGTACTTATACTCGAATACGCTGCTATTAAATCTCTGCAGAGAAGTGAGTTGAGGCAGTCATTTCTGTGCAAACCAGTTATAAAGGGGTCTACTGTAAAAAAACTTTTTTAAATAAAGAGGATAAATACCGGAGAAATGACAAAAAGCTCACTGCCCATCAGGTCAAACACTCTCACAGTTCCAGTGCTTTCCGAATAGGCAAGCAATGTGCAGTCATGACTCCATGCCACCCGTCTCCACTGTGCGTTAGGGTCTTTTGGAACTACAGAGAAGGAAAACATAATGGGGATTCATCAAAAAAAATATTGCGGTGGTTTCAATGGTTACATAATAAACTATACTCAACTGTTTCATCTATGAAACTTTTAAAGTTTGAATTAGGACAACACAAAGTTTTGTTAGATTAAAGTAATTAATCTTATTGTAACTTATCTACAGTAAAGGAAAATCTTGGTACTAGGAGTCTGAATTTCCTAACTTTTCTACAATAAAAATGCCATTCTTAACACAGCATCAATGTATGCTTGCATATGTGTGAATCATTTTAACAGCTTAAAAATAGAGTGGTGCAAAAAACTTGGAGAGAGAAAACACAAACTCTACCTCAAATTCCTTTATTACACATATAACAACTTATAATTTTGTATAGCGGTATAAAGAACATAATGAGTTCAATCATAGTGTGCAATTATTATTGTCCAGCAACAATAACTAAACATCTTACCACCTGAAAAAAAAAATCCACTGGGATCAAAGAGTAAAAAGAAAATGGCAGCCTATTCTATTATCTAATGGCTAGACTGAAAATTTAAATTAGCAGAAGAGAGAGACTGATTAGCTTGATATGTACAGTAGAAGCCAAATATAGCTCCTTTCATTTCCAACACTATAGCATTACCCTATTGAAGTGGATCTCAAAAGTCCAAGGATTGCAGCCCAGGTGGGAGCCTATAAACTGAGCTCTGTTGCCTGGGTTGAAGCTGAAGCCTGAGTCCCTGTTGCTCAGAGCTTAAGTCCTTTAGCTTTGGCCCCAGCCAGTGGGGTTCAGCTTGCGGCCGAGGGTCCAGCCAGTCTAATGCCAGCCCTGGTAACCCCATTAAACAGGATTGTGACCTATGCTGGGGTCTGACCCACAATTTGATGACTGCTGCTCAAGTGTATACTGTAATAAGTTTTTGGAAGCTTATTCGAATATTCCATCTGTCCTACTATCCTATAGCATTGACATGGGTTTTTGTAAGCAATAGCTCCTTTCTTAAGACTCAAAAGATGTCACAGTTGGACAGGGCATTTAAACACAATGGGTAACCTTTTCAAAAGCACCTTAATGAGTTTCAGAAGTGAGTTAGGAACCTAAGTCTCACTGAAAGTCAATGAGATTTAAGTGCTTCTGAAAAATTTCCCCAGCATGGCAAAAGGAAACTAGACAAACAGGATAAAGACTCTATATAAGAGTTATGGAATCATTAAAAAAATTGAAATGAACCACTCATTTCAGCTCTTCTTATTAGCTTTTAACTGGACTTTGGTAGAGGACAGTTGAACCACTGATATTTGTGTACACACCAAGATAACCCAGATACTTGTATACAAACTAGCGTCTGTAGACTGTCTACTTTTTTGATATTCACCGTAAGACCTCAGCATGACCTGTAAATTCTACCCTCCCCACATCAGGAAGGAAAAAGTGGGGGAAGGGAAAGCAAAAAGGTATCAATGATATTAAAGATATTTCCTTAAAGGGCCTATGAATAATCTCTCAAACGCAATGAGCAAAACTTCCTTGCCATAAAAAAAGTTTGCAATTTTGCATACCTTGACATTTTCCAACAATTGATCCGAAGTCATCTTTTGCAGACCTGAAAATCATGAACACATGTAATTAACTGAATTTGCATGAAGAAAACTGACACATACTTCAGCATTTATAATATTAGCATTTATTAAAAATACTCCATTTATTCTCTAGCATAATTAGAGAATTTGTACATAGTTAATTTACTTTATATTAGGACAGACAATTGATTCCATCCTCAGACTGAAAAGGTGGCTTAAAATATATTTCAGGATCTCTTTCTTTCCAATCCATAGACAAAGCTCCTCAAAAGAAGTGGAAGCATCTATTCCACCAGATTGTATCAGTAACTGACAATAGCTCGAAACAAACAACAAATGGTCTGATAGGCTACCAAAACATGTAGATGGTATCATGTGCTGTGCCCACGAAAGTTCATGATACCATCTACATGTTTTGTTAGTCTATAAAGTACTATCAGACCATTTGTTGTTTTTTTCTGTACAGACTAACTCGGCTACCCCCTGAAGCTTCTGACAATAGCTCGGTATTCTTTAAGGCTAGTATTTCAGAAACAGTGTAAGAATTCATCCAGTTAGAGACACGCAGTACAAATATCAACCTTATATTCTAGGAAGTTTGACATTTATGACGCTCTTTTTTATTTTCATCAAAGTTTTCATATATTTTCTTTTTACATATAGAAAGATTGATATTTCTGAAGCAAGCAAATTCTCTCAGTCTTTATTAGTTCTCTAGATAAGTGGGGTGTTTTGCTAATGAACTCAGAAATGAAGGTGGATTGGTTGGCTTTTTAGAGGAGAGAAAGGTAAAAAATCTCCACATCATGTTACTCAAATCATTATTATTCATATAGCATTATTAGTTTGCAAGGCACTTGACAGATAAGTAAAATGATAGCTCCTTGCCAAAATCCAGTAAGATGCCAAACACCACTTTCTCCTCCCCCAGTGTCTCTTCAGTGGGAGACGAGGGCATTCAGCACCTCAGAAGTTGAAAGACAGAGATTACTTAAAGGGCAAACAATGAAAAACAAAGGCAAGATGGAGACACAAAGGAGAACAGAAGCTTAGTGAAGTTCATCCACCTTGCTCATTTCTCTTTAGATATGCATTTTTTTAAAATGTAGTTTTTGTGTTTATGGCTTGTGTCACAAATAAAGCAGAGAATGTAAAGCTGCTGTTTTTAAAGTTAATAGGTTCAAGAGCATTTTTCTAGACCATTTCCCAAATTCTGATGGCTAAAATATAAACAAAATTACCTTTAAAATATAATTTACTAGAAGTTTTACGCAGCACTGATTGTGCCCTTAACACAATTAATTTTTATGTTTTAGAAAATAAATCATTGCTCTCCATTAAATCATTGCTCTCCATTGGAGCTTGGGAGGAGGGGTTCAGTATGCAGGCCTTCCCAGGAAAGAGAGGACTAAGCCAGCAGGCACAGCCAGAGGAAACATACATGTCTCCCTAGCTGGGGCAGGTCCAGGTTTATCCTCCCACTGAGCTCCCCAGCCAGGGTAAGGAATGCAGCAAACTGTGCACTTTACCATCATTCCCTAATGCAGGGAAACAGTCAGCAATGTTCCCTTATGAATCGCAGGGATGGGTGGCCGGAGGGAGAGCTTCAGACTTCTAGTCCTACTGAAAAAGCACCTAGGGAGAGGGAGGCTCAGGGCTGGGGCAGTCCCAGATGGAAAAGGTGTGTCCCCAAACAGCCCCTTTCTCCTGACTGGTGATTCTCTCTCTTTTCTGTAGAGTTTTCTAAAAAGCAATCCTATTCCAAGCACATTCCATTTTCTTGGCACACTCAAACTCCTATCTCATAAGAGGAAGCTGTATACCGAATTTGGTGATCCTAATTCTTTCCATTTAGGAGGAGTTCTTGAACAAACACAAGATGGACAGACAAACTGTCTCAAAATACATAACAGATAAATCTCTACCTCCATTTTCTTAAAATATTCCATGAAATTGGTAGTAAAATGATAGATAATACTGAATTACCTGATTTCTACACACTGGTCCTGGACAACTGCCAACAGTTTACCATTACTAAAAAGGGGAGAAAAACATTTCCATGTGAAAATTCAATTACAATAAAAACTTGCTTTTTTGAAACATGGGTCACACTACTAGTTATCACTTTCCAAACTCGGCTTTAAATTCTGCCTTACATTCCAAGTGAAAAATAATTGGGTAATGACGATTATTAGAACATACTAATCCTCATTATGTAAGTTAGCATAGTTAGTAGACTCCATATCACGCAGTGCTATTAATATATCATTTTTATTAGCCCTAAATGCACAAACTATTTTTAAAAAATCTAAAATTATTTTCCCAAGAGAGTACAAGGTCAAACACTGCTGAAGGACAATGTTAAAGGCAGAAATGTTTGCAATTCTTCTACCTGCTTAAAAAAAAAAAAAAAAGTTATCGCAATGTCAACTGATCACTACTGGGCCAGGAAAGAAATTCCTATCTTGCCTCAAAAGATACAGCATTGCACAATTATGTTATTGAGGGAAGAGGTCCCCTGTTCTGAAGAATCAGGCACAGACCATTACTGTTGGTGAGATACCATATGATACTATGTTTGAGACACACAGTAAAACGCCTTGAGTAAAATTATTACAAACTAATATCAGGCCATGCAAACCTCAACCAGGTATGTGTATTTGATTTAACAATTGCAAAACAGCTATTTTCAACCCCAGAATTTTTCCACACATTACAGGCCAGATCTAGAAGTTACTGAGCAGATCCTGAAAACTACATTACACTCACCACACACTTGAATAGAACCTGATGATACAGCATTTTGCAGGTTCTAGACCATTAATAAAGCAAGCCTTGTCAAGTTATCCAATAAATTCTCAACCGAAGATTTATCCTACTCACCATCTTGGTGGGCAAATAGAGCTCACTTTCATGGGTGAGGAGGAGGAGTAAAGCCTTCATGCAGTTACAAACACAGCAAACCAAACTTTGAAAATCCCAGTATATGAAACAATGTGTGATTCAAACAACAACAACAAAACACACAGAAAGAAAAATGATACTCCTCTTACCTTGCAAGAACTAGATGCCAGTTGATCTGCTTACTAACCAGACGAACAAGCCCAGCAGGGAGGGAAAACTTTGCAGGACTAAAATGTAAAGTATTTTTAAATTAGAATCTTTGGAAATGTTTGTTTTTAAACAAAAAAACACATACATTTTGAAATCTTAAAAAAAAAATTCCATAACATACACAAATAAAGGCTCCTAAGCGTTCAAATGGTTCAGTGCAAATTGACTTAAATGCCTGCTTAGAGTCCAATGGCTTCAATACGCAATATATTGGTGTAAACGTTCCACCTTGTCAGATCCAAAACCATAATCAAGACAAAGGTGCACACTTTGTTAGAAAAAGTACATACAAACTTAATTGTGTTTAATCTAGTACTATTTGAAAGAAACATCATGCCATTTAAATGGTATCAGAGGGATCCAGACAATCAGAGATATTAGAAAAATAAAAAATGTAGAATGACTCAATGACAAACGAAATATTGAAATGATTTTAAATAATAAAACTTACAGTTTAAGATTGTCACATATGATATCCTAGTTGGAGAGCTTTCTAGAACTTTTAACTTTAAACACATTATACTGAATTGTAAACTAAGATAAGCAATGACATGACAGTCTAGTGGAAACAGTAGCTCCGCCAATATGGAGTCTTTTATATTTTTCTTTATTTCTTGAAACAGAACCTAAGCTTACATTTTTATTTTGTGTTATTGTACAAGTTTATCAGAACAATTATTACTATGTGTTTTATGAAACATGTATTCCTTCCCTTCAACCCCTCTGCCATTCCCAATTACTAATAGGAAAAGTTGTTATTTTACACTTCTGAAAAAACTTGATTACAATTTTCAAGTGGACACATATAATCCTTAAATAAGTGACTAGTTCCTTTTCTGAATGTTGGAATACTGTAAAAGCCAAAAGCAAGTTACATAAGCATGAACTAATTCAGGATATAGCTCTGTTTGTTTCAAGTTTTGTATACAAAACAAAAATATTCTGCACTTTTAGATAGAACACTTTGGATGACAAACACAGCTAAGATACATACATAAGTATTATTCCCTTTTACATATGTGAAAAATAAACTATGAAGAGGCTCAACAAATCACTTTACAAGTCAGTAGCACAGGGCACAATCATAGAATATCTAGGGCCCTAACAAATTCACGGCCATGAAAAACGCATCACAGACCATAAAAACTGGTCTTTATAAGCTTTTACCCTATAGTGGTATTTCTCTTCTTTTTCGAAAGAAGTGGTTGCAGTCTAGACACTCTCTTTTGAAAGAGGATTGTAGTCTAGACATACCCTTAATGTCGCAGAACTGAGAAGGGAGGGAGTAGAGGCAAGGAAAGAAGCTACAGTAAACTTCCGATAATCCGGGCTATGAGGGGTCTGGGGTAGGGTGGGGGGGGAATGTCACCCCAGACCCCTCATAGCCCCCCCTTCTGATAGTCCGGCTCTGCCCCAGGCGTCCCCATTTAGTTTCAGCAACAGCTGAATCAGGGAAGCCGGGCACAGAGCAGCTTCAATTGTCCGGCTACCCCGAGCACTTCTGGGTTTCCTGATGGTGCCGGACCATCAGGAGTGCCGGAGCATTGGATGCCGGACTAATAAAGTTTTACTGTATTTACAAATTCAACCAAGAAGTTGAATACATCTCATAGCACAGATAGCATGAAGTCCAGAGAGTGTGCAAGCTCAAGGAAAAGAAAACCATTTGAGCTGAAAGAAAAACATTATTGTCCATCAAATCATACAGACGTATGGCCCTCAAACCAGAGAAACAAAAGTTTTCACATCCATTAAAACAATGTCCTGCAAAATCTCAGAATGACTGGCATAATTGACAGGGTCACTTATCTGGTAGATCAGCAGGTTCTTCCCAAGTGTATCAAGGGACTAGCACACATAGAAGTCAACCATTCCCATGGGGTTAGAGATGCTGCAGCTTTTCATAATTAAACTTCTGATCACAGTCCTCTTTACACAGAATCTTGCACTTGCTATTAACAAGAATAAGATGACCATCCTCTTTCAGGAATGGTATGCCTCATTTTGAGGAGTGGGGAGCCAGTTTTCTCTGCCCATTTTATAAATAAGAATATATTCATCCAAGTGTCAACACATGGAAAGAGACCTCTGCACCCACAGAGCCCGTAATAAAAATCCACCTATACTGTTCATGACTCAGCACTTTGATATGGTGTCAGAGAGATAAACATGGAACCTTACAACTAGAGCCCTGCGCAGATACAAAACTGGCATCTGCAAAAATGACCTACAGATATCCACATTAACAGATATGGATACCCACAGATATAAAGCAGAAGTCTGCAGATTTGCATGACTCTACTTACAATGCCATTTAGTTGTTTACAGAATCACTTTTTAGTGCAGAAGCTCATTTTAGCTGCTAAATTCTGATCTCTTACTCTTGTTGGCAACTTCAACAAGTCCCATTAATTGGGTTCAGTAGAACAGCAATTTTCAAGAGAAGCTGGATTAAGTTTGGAAGGAGGGATACCTTTACTAGCATGGCAAAAAAAATAACCTACTAAAGTAAAAATGTTTAGATGAAGAATAATATTTGGCAAACATTTGATGTTCTTGTTTCTAACTTCAAACCTACCTGTACCAGATATACTGAAGCAAAAACAACGCAGGACCTATGAAAAGAGAAAAAACAATAAATTGAATCACAACTTTAACAGCTAAAAAACAAAATTCAATGCTCGAATTATAGCAGAAAGTAGAAGCCAGTGTGTCAAATAGGGCAATCTCCTGCAATATCTTGAATAAACTTTATTGAATTATGTTCAATATTATCGAGGTTCATTTATTAAAAATTCAATTGTTACTGGGTTATTGAGGGATTGTATTTATTTTCATGGATAAAGTAAGATGGGAAAGAGGCAATAGTGAGGAGCCAGAAACCTAGAGTGGATGCACTTGCTGGATCAAATACAGATGTAGTTGCCCTGTATAACAACACTGAGAATCATCACTTTAACAGCTAAAAAACAAAATTCAAATACAGATGTAGTTGCCCCGTATAACAACACTGAGAATCATAATTAAAATGTATTTCAGCATAAAAATGAACATTCTTTGTATTTCTACTTTACCTACTAAATCTCACATTTTATGAAATATGTAAATACAGAGTTCAAACCTCATGCAATTTTGAAAACTCAATGAAAAATATCTGAGAAAAAATTAACAACATGCATGCAATCATATTTATAACAGTGTGCCATGATTTTTAAAAACCTTGTTGTAGAAGAGTCCAAAAATCCTAACTAAACACATTACGTCTGTCATTGGCATGTGCCAAAAACTCAAAATCATTGAGTCTGCCGTAATACAGATGCCTGTCAGATGCATATTTTATTCGTGTTCCCCATGTGGTACTATCTACCAAAAACTCAAAATCATTGAGTCTGCCGTAATACAGATGCCTGTCAGATGCATATTTTATTTGTGTTCCCCATGTGTTACTATCTAACCAGAAAACAAACAAAACAAACACACACACACACACACACACGAAGATACAGAGGGAAAAATCATAAAAAGCTGTTTCCAAATTATTGATACATAGTATATGTTCCATTACACTAGACCCATCACAATGCCAGGCATACCAAATCCTTTAAGCAGAATTTACACACACACTTCATTTGAGCCATAAATAGAAAACCAATCAACAATCCTTCAATGAAAATAAGTCATATTTACCTGTAATTGCTCTAGTGATGATAAATGATGCACCATGCTTTTTGTTGCCTCTCGGCTGCAATTAAAACAATATGTTCATCATGCAATGTCTGAATAATCCAATATTCATGTACAAACAGCAAATGCACTTGATAAAACTCTAAAAACTTCTCAGTTTTGACTATTTCCAATTCCATATTAAATTGCAAAAGCTTAAACTGTACAACTGAACATTCAGTATGTGCCAAACTGTAATAAAAACAGAATATTAGCACAGGATCCAATAGTTCAACATACTATCATTGATGTATGACATTCTGATTGTGCATAAGAAAAAGTCTCTCACTTATAAAAATTCTGGCTCTTTCACATAATAATTTTAACAGGTACCTTTCTAGATGTATTTCTGCCCAGTAAAATAAATATTCAAAGACTATTTTCTCTCCCTAGTGCCCTTCTACCACCTTTTCTTCTCCCAGTCAATCTCACTAACACTACTTCTGTAGCAATGCCACTACACTCTATTATGCATCCATTGCATGGCATTCATAATACACGTGGTTTATAGCTTATGCAGAAAGGAGCAGTTCAGGAGACCTCTATAGGGAAAGGATGAAGCGATATCAGCCCAGGACAAAAGGCACAGGGGAGAACCAAGAAAGGAAAAAATATATGCAACCAAAAGGGAGCTCCAAATAGAGGGGAGAGATGGCAGAAGTTGGGATAAGTGCTCTTGTCCATAAGAAGAGGATGAGACTACTTTTCACACAAAAAAGGAAGGAAAGAAGGAAGAAATCAAAACTAGAAATGTGAATGTTTAACTAGAAAATTGATAAACCTCACCCTTAATGCAGAAGCGAGGAACCTTTTTTGGGTTGGGGCTGCTGACACATACAAAAATCAGTCAGGGACCACACACAAGCAAGAAGCAAAAAAACAAAAATAAAAATCCCAGAAATATGCACTGATGTGGCCCCATACTGAGGAGACACACTCCACATTCCCCTTGCACACCAGTGTCTAGAGGGGCCTGGGCGAATAGATTTTGTGCGCTCTAGCCCTGTGTAGGCTCCCCAATGCTGCAGGGGGAGCCCTGAACCTCAGGGGCCAGATCCTAGCAATCCGTGGGCTGGATGCGGCCCCTGGACCTTAGGTTCCCCATCCCTGCCTTAATGAATGAGACTTGCTGTTTAAGATTAACCCAACAGGATGCCACAGCAGTCGCTGCCTCTTGGACACCAGGGCCCGCTGCTGGAAGGGCTACTCCGGCAGCTAGGCCAAAGCAGTCCTACAAACAGGGACTGCTCCAACCAGGATGCTGGAGCAGGCCCAGCCTGTGGAGTGCCCTGGCCTGCCACAGGCACGGGGTGCTCCAGGCCCCCTCCCACCGTCCCCTTTAATCAGTTAACCGGTTAAACAATATCGTAACCAGTTAAACAATTAAACAGGATTTTACATCCCTAATTCAAACGAAAAGGGAAAAGATGTTAATTAGGTATGAAAAAAGAAGACAAAACAGATAAAGAGAAAAGGAAGACATTACAAACATAGCTTAAAGCAGGGATGGGGAACCTCAGGTCCAAGGGCCGAATGCGGCCCCCAGTTTGCCTGGATCAAGCCCTCACAGCTCAGGGCTCCCCCAGCATTGGGGAGCCCATGCTGGTGTCTCAGCTCTCCCCAAACATAGCTTAAAGCAGGGATGGGGAACCTCAGGTCCAAGGGCCGAATGCGGCCCCCAGTTTGCCTGGATCAAGCCCTCACAGCTCAGGGCTCCCCCAGCATTGGGGAGCCCATGCTGGTGTCTCAGCTCTCCCACCTTCCACCCTCCTCCCCCAACTGCTCCACCATGGATCTGGAACACACAAAATCTACTAACCTGGGGCCCCTAGGTTCTGGTATGTGAGGAGTGTCTTTCTCCTTCTCAGTCAGGGACCACATCAGTAAGGGTCCCTGGGGCCCCTAGGTTCTGGTATGTGAGGAGTGTCTTTCTCCTTCTCAGTCAGGGACCATATCAGTAAGGGTTTGTTTGCCTGCTTGCTTGCTTGCTTGCTTCTCACTTGTGTGCAGCCCCCAACTGATTTTTCGGTGGGTCAGCAGCCCCTGACCCAAAAAAAAGGCTTCCCACCCCTGGCTTAAAGCAACCGTTTTCAATCTGTGGTCCAAAGACCCCTGGGAATCCGTAGACTATATATAAGATTCCAAAGGAGCATGTGCATCTATTTAAAGATTTTTGGGGTCTACAAATGAAAAAAAAAATGTTCAGACCCACTTGCTTAAAGTCGTTGTCGTTTTCTAGTCAAAATCTCACAGCACCATAAACAGAAGTCAAGTGAAGGAAATACAATTACTACCTATTGATAGTCACAGGTTAATGGAGCAGGTGGTTTTACAAGAATCATGCCAATGACTAAGGTAAAAATATTTTAAAATAAATATTTAAGGCTATGATTTTCAAAATGAGTGCCTAAGTTTGGTTTCCATGTTCCTATTTTGAAGGCAATGAGAACTATGGGCTATTGTGAACTTCTGAAAAAAAATCAGGCCACTTGTTAGATGTAATGAATGCATAGTCAGAAGCCTAAGTTGTATCCCAGTGTGATAATCAGAAAGTAGATTTTATTTAAAGTTTCCAAAGCAGATCAAAGAAATATTTTTCATAGCGACAATAGCTCTTTAGAATGCCTATTTGTTGGGTCTCAGTGGAGATCAACAGAAAGAAGTACACATAACTGCCCTCATACACAATTTGTTCAATTAAGGTTCATCAGACAGGCAGAAGTTGGGCCCCAGTTTCTATACAGCATACAGTAACAATAAATGAAAAAGCTCATTTTATTTCTCATATTCATCAGATTTCCTGATGTGCCCAGGACACAAGTCCCACTGAAACTTCTAAGGAATCATGAAAAGCTTGAAGATTCCACAAGCAATTTTGAAAGTCCCCCCTTCCCCCAAAAAAACTTTTTGAAGATTTACACTATCCATTCCACAAGCAATTTTGAAAGTCCCCCCTTCCCCCAAAACCTTTTTGAAGATTTACACTATCCGCTTCTATACTTGAACTAAAAAGCCTCGTTCTTCAATTGTTTTTAATCCCTAAAAGTAAGTCATTTACTCTATTAGGAACATTAAAATGTATTCTCCTTTAATGTATCTCCACTGAGCCTTACATGCACCATGCAGTTACAGAGAAACCCTTCTTCCAATCCATTAAGAAACCTCCTTTTATGATACATTCATGTTTGACAGACAGCTTCAAATTTTACTGTTAGAACATTTCAGAAATAAAATCTATATAAGGCTCCTATCTACATTTGCAATGACAATGTGCCTATTTGAAATATCTATTAAGCATTGATGTTTTTAGCTGCCTACCACACACATTAAGGTTCCCCGGGCAATCTTAAAATTCAGTCTCCCTATGCATATGCATTATCATGCAGTCTTTAATTATGATTTTAAACATATTTTCCCAGAGGTGCTCCTAACTATGAAGTGGGGTCAGGGAATGTGTGTGGAGGAGCCTGGTTAGGGCAGGATGCTTGTCCCACTCTTCTCTGCAAGGCACTGCCAAGCACCCTGCCTCCACCACACTCCTCTGCAGATATTACCCCGATCCTTCTTCCCAGTAAGCACCAGGCAGGACAAAGCAGGACAAGTACCCATATAGAGTCCTTTTTCTGAACAGTTGCAAAAAAGCAAACATGATTCTGGGATGCATTAATAGGAGTGTTGTGAGCACGACACAAGAAGTCATTCTTCTGCTCTACTCTGCCCTGATTAGGCCTCAGTTGGAGTACTGTGTCCAGTTCTGGGCACCACATTTCAAGAAAGATGTGGAGAAACTGAAAAAGGTCCAGAGAAAGAGCAACAAGAATGATTAAAAGTCTAGAAAACATGAGCTATGAGGGAAGACTGAAAGAACTGGGCTTGTTTATTTTAGAAAAGAGAAGACTGAGAAGGGACATGGTAACAGTTTTCAAGTACAGGCAGTCCCCGGGTTACATGGATCCAACTTACATCAGATCCCTACTTACAAACGGGGTGAGGCAACCCCGCACTAGCTGTTCCCCCCAGCAGACCAGAGAGACGCAGAGCGGCTTTTCTCAGCAGACACCTCGGCTTGAGAATAAAGGACTGAGGGAAGTGAGGTGTGGGAGAATAAAACGGAGCTCTGGAGAAATGTTTGGCTAGAGTGTCCCCTACAATATGTACCAGTTCTGACTTACATACAAATTCAACTTAAGAACAAACCTACAGTCCCTATCTTTTACGTAACCCGGGGACTGCCTGTATCTAAAGCGATGTTACAAGGAGGGGGAGAAAAATTGTTCTCCTTGGCCTCTGATGACAGGATAAGAAACAATGGGCTGAAATTGCAGCAAGGGCGGTTTAGGTTGGACATTAGGAAAAACTTAACTGTCAGTGTGGTTAAACACTGGAATAAATTGCCTAGGGAGGTTGTGGAATCTCCATCACCAGAGATATTTAAGAGCAGGTTGGACAGATGTCTATCAGGGATAATCTAGACAGTGTTTGGTCCTCCCGTGAGGACAGGCAACTGGATTTGATGACCTCTCAAAGTCCCTTCCAGTTCTAGTATTCTATGATTTACGCATTTGCTCCAATAGCCACAAAAATTAATTGGAAGCAAATACCTATGGATTTCTGCAGAAATTGCAGTACTCTATTCTTGAAAAGTGTTCTTAGTATCCATGAACTAGAAAGTGGAAATTAAAACACTGTTTGCTCAGTTATTTCCCTAATTAAATTTTTCATGAAGTATCTGTGTTTTAACTAGAAATGTGTGTAATTGACAAGTCTGATAAGACTAAGCTTATCGGTTAATCTTATAGTCAACTACACTTTGACATGCCTAGTATTGGGGGAAAGGGAGGGGTGCGTATTTTACACACACAAACAATTTGAAATCAAAACATAAATACAAGGAACAACTTTACAGCAGAAATGTAACCTCTAAAATGGAAGACAGACAGCTGATTTAGCACAAAGTGGAAAAGAATAGAGAAATAAATGGAAGATGAAAAATTTGTCCCTGAGGATACACGGCCAAGCCACTACTCACCAGCCACTGAAAACAAGGTTTCTCAGTGGCTCACACAGAACAAACAGAACCTCAACAAATTACCATCTTCCAATTAGTAAAGTTTAAATAATATCCAACTTTTGTGCTTTGATGTCTACTTATGCCATCCTCTGTAAAACACACGAAGTATGTTATGTTCTCCCCATTCAGTATACGGGCAGATCTGCCAACCAAGACCTGCCATAGCTTTAATAGGAAATAACTTCATTTTGCATCATACACTGTTTACTTGACAGAGGGCCTGGTTTTCCTAAGTGCAACCCGTACTGACTCTTTTGGCGCTGTTAGCTAACCTCTTCTGAAGAGCAGGCTCAAAGTAAATTGCACAACGAATACTTCTACCCGACAGCCTTCTGTACTTTTGCTAAAAAGCAAAAACCTCACCAATATTGGTTAACGGTATAAAAAGCAAAGGGGCAGCGGCAACCCCGGCTTGAAGCGCTTTCCATCATACAGCGCACACAGCGGTGTTCAAGGGCTCCCCGCACCCCGGGACTGCAGCAGCCCGCGTGCAGGAGCGAGGTGCCTCCCCCCTGGCTGAGTGACACACGCCAGGTGTTTGGTACGTGCCCGGGATGCTCCTTAAGGTGTCAGGAGCCGCTGCCTGCCAGGGTGGCCCCAGCAGCCTTGGTAGCCGGGAGAGAAGAAGGCCCCTCGCTCGCTCGGGATGACGGGGGGGTCTCGCGCGTGGAAGGTGCCCCCAACGGTAGCCCGACCCCTCGTCGCTGGGGGACAAGGAGACCGCGCCGTGCGCCCGCCCTCCCGCGCCTTGCAGGGCTCTACGTGGCCACCCCGCCCCCACCTGGGTCACTCCCAC